TATGTAATAATAATTATTGGCATAATTGAATACATTAATTTAAAATTAATAGATTCAGTTCTTATATCAGATAATGATATTTTTAGTTTTTTAATACACTAGTAATTTAGAAGAAATTATAATTTATTGGAAATTATAAGCTCGTTTTATTCTTGATTAATTTTACTAATAATTTTCTATATTTATAAAAATTAATTTATTACAAATAATAAGAAGCTCATAAAAATTAGACACTAAAATATATATCTATATTTATAATATTTCTTATTTGAATTTCTAAATTTTGATTTAATTAATGATTAAATAAGATCAAGATCTTACCTAGAAAATAGAGTAATTATTGTAGTTATCATAAGATAAAGACTTAAAAAAAATGTAAAATTGGAAATTGTAATAAAATAATAATTATATTTTTATAATAATGTATATATTGTTAAATTAAATATTCTATAAATTCAAATCAGATACACTTTTCTGCCTTATTGATCAAGCCATAACAAATCTTATTCATGCATGTCCTAAATGCATTTAAGAAACTATTGAAAACTTATAACTTTTAATTCTTTTGATTATTGTAATTCAGACCAGATAACATCAATCATTAACACATCCACACAATACTTAAATAATAATATCTATTAAAATACTTTATCATATCGTTATCTTATTAATTTATGAATTTCTTTACATGATCTTCTACTTGGATTTTCATATGTAGCTTAATTAAGAAAATAATAAAATTTATTAATTTCATCAGGCTCATCATTTTATTTAATACTACTTTATTAATTCTCATCATTTAGTGTCTATTAAATTCTTTTAGTACTTACTTTTATTAAATTTAATTGACTCGTTTTATTATAATCTTTATTAATGTGATTATTCTCTTCAATTTTAACTTGATTTAAATCTTATGAATAAAATTCCTCTAATTTTTCTATTTTTGAATTTATTTTTTAGATATCTTTAGAATTCTTGTTTTTAATTTAACAATTTTCAAGTTTTTCATTATCATTAGAAAAGAAACTATAACAAATAACTGAATCAAAATCACAAGATTCATCAGATTAAATTTTAAAGAGAGTATTGTTCTTTTATGATATCTCTTAATTATATATATCATGATTCTTCCAATCTAATTCAAATCTTAATTCTGATCTAGCTTATAATGCAATCAAATTAAGTATAAAATTCTATTGTTCTGCATTCTAATATTGTTCTTTTGACTCTTCATTTTTTTGTGATCCAGTTTAACTTTATATATTTTAAAATATTTTCTTATTCTAAACATTGTCCACTTTTTATTTATCAATACTAATATCATTAAGAAAAAGTTCATCTTTTGTAAATTCATGTTATAAACAGGGTTTTAATGCTTTTTTAGTTTTTCCTTTAACTACTTATTTGACCTCTTTAGCATTTTTCTGAATCTCTGTTTCTTTTTCTAAGGGATTATTCTTTTTTTTAATTTCTTATTTTAAAATGACTACCTATCTTCTAGTTCTCTAGGATACATTATTTTGACTTATAAGTATTTTATTATCAAGGTCTAATCCAAATTTTTGATTAGTTTACCTTTTTCTTAAGTTTTATTTGATTTGGCTCATTTCAGTTTAATTTAATACATCAAGTTTCTAAAGTATTCAAAAATTTAGCAATAAGCATAATTAAATATGATAATGATTTCTTATTTAATTGATTTTAATTATTAAATTTTATTAATAAAATAAATAACGAAGTTAATGATAATAAAAGAAATTCTTATGCCTTCAAATCAAATTAAACCCACTCTCTTTATTTACTATCAATCTAAGTCTTATATAAAAATTTCTCATATTGATGTTGATATTAATTATATATCTATTCAAAACCATTAAACATTACACAATCATTAAAAAATGTTAAGTATATATATTTAACAAATCAATTCATAACATAATTCGATTTCAAATAATTTTAAAAATTTCGAAATGCTATTTATGAAATTTTTAGTCCTCTCTTAGTTTTTTTAAACATTATATAATATTTATATGTGATTTATTGAACTGATTAAATCAGAAAATAATCAAATAAGAAATAATTTATTTAAAACCAAAAGAATTGAATGAAATTCTTATATGATGGAAAATAAAATATCCAAACTTTGGTATTGATTATTGAAATAAATTTTAATTCTTAATGTGTAATACAATTATATATATATGATATTGATATATATTACAAAAATAAATACAATAAAATTAGAGTACAAATATATTGAATTTTTTTGTTGATAGAATTCCATTTATAAAATTAATAATCTGATTAATACATTTAATACTTTTTGTATATATTTGTCAATTTTAATTAGAAAGTATTAAAATATTAATATGAGTAAATTGATGAAATCAATAATGATAGAATAAGATGTTGACCTGTAATGTTCAAAGAAACACAAATCACCAATACAAATGGTTGTTTTTGATTAAAAATTGACCAATAATGAGAGGCTATTATGTTCTGATTGTTTAGAAGATTTTGAATCCAATGTCAAAATGGTAGGTTTAACAAAGGTTTTATAAATAATTGATGATAAATAGATTAAATAAATAGAATATAAGCAAAATTTAATAGAAAATAACATTGAATAAATTTAAATGATATAAAGAAGCTTTATTGAAATAAAATCTAATCTTATTTCAATTATTGACTCATTAATAGGAAATTCTGAAGAATGGATCAAAGTTCTTAATCAGATTGGAGAATAAACTGTAACTTATAGTTTCTTTGATGAAATAGAACTACTTATATAAAATAAACATAAAAATGAATAAAATTAAGAAATGTTAAAGGAAATTAAATAAATTAATCAATCTTGGATTACTAAAACTACTCAAAAAATTTTAAACTTTAATTCAAATTACAAATTGCTAATAACAGAACTAAAAAAATAATTGTAGATTCTTATTTATAACTAAGTTTAAGAAGAAACTTAAGAGATTAAATAATTAATTGATGATCCAGTTAATCTTAAATTAATTAATAATAAATCCTATTAATATGATGATTGCTTTGCAATTTCATTCAATAATATTGGAAATCTTATGATTTCTGGATGTGGAAAGGATATTAAAGTATGGGACTTTTAAGATGGTAAAATTAAAGAAGTTTTGAAATTGAAAGGACATACTGATACAATTAGATGTCTTACATTCGCTAATTCGAATAATAGTTTCATTTCTGGTTCTGGAGATTTTTCTATTAGATGTTGGAAACAACTTAATTTTAAATAATGGAAATCATCTTAACCATATTAAAATCATACTGATTAAATTGAATGTATTTTATTAAGTAAAGATGAGAGATAATTAATTTCGAGTAGTTAAGATAAATCAATTAAAATTTGGAATTTTGATATTAATAATAATGAACTCATATTGTAGTAATCATTAAATGAAAGTAAATGTTGTTTAAATAGTATAACATTGAATTTTTCTGAAACTAGTTTAGTTGCTTGTGGGGATGATAAATAAATTTTAATATGGTTAAAGAACAAGTCTAATTAATGGGAATATTTAAATGTTGTTACACAATCTTAAGAAGAATATGGAACAAAAGTATGTTTCTTAAACGACAATTTATTTATTTGGGTGAGTGGTGATATATCAAAGAAAAATTGTGTAAGAATCTTTGAACGATAAGAGGGAACCTTTATAGAAAATACAACTAAAACAATAGAATTAGAAAATGATGAAGAAGAAGTATTTGATCTAAATCTGTTCCCCATTTAATACAATATAGAGTAAAATTTAATTCTTATTCGACATAAATTGTATATATATTTTTTAAGGGAATAAAGAGACGGTAAGTATAAAATAGTTAATAAATTGAAGTAACTAAGTAATTCAATTTAGGGTTCAATGACAAAAGATTCGAAATATTTAGCTTTTTGGGAATCGAGCTAAAAAACATATTCGATTTATGAAATAGAAACGAAATGATTTTTATTTTATGTGTTATTTATCAAACAAATATCATTCAAAATTATTAAAATTATTATATAATTAATTTTCAAAATGTTAAAAGTTATTTTCTAAACCAACTAAAATATTTAATCAAAGAGCTGAAAAATTTTAATTATTTCAGTTCTTATAATTTAACAGGTTTGATATACGATTTAGAATCACATTTAATCCTTATAATTTAGAAAAAAAACTTTCTTTAAAATATTATATCAGAAATATTGTTTGAAAGAAAACCCAATAAAAAAATTCTAAATACATTACACCTTACCTTTAAGTTTGATAAACATGGAATTTAATCTGTCATACAATATGCATAATCAAAAATGGACAGTAGTATTTAAGGTAATGTTCAAATACTGTCAATAAAGAAATATTGATTAAATTAATTTTGTCTTTTCAAAATAAATTTCTTAAAATTGTTAATATAATCACTTTTTTTTACTACACATTAATTTATTTATAATGAAAAACCCATAATATTACATATTTTACATCAATATTTAATAAATTAAAAACAAAAAAAATTTGTTATTACGAAAGTAATAAAAACCATTTAATTCAAAACTTTCCAAGTTTAAACCAATATAATTGGTTGTGGGGAAGAGCCCTATTCCGGAACTTGACCCCATTTTAAATTAAACAAACGAAATACATATTTAAAAAAATAATGATATGAAATTCTATTAATTTTCTAAAATGTTTTATCCATCATTTCATAAGATCACTGCTGTTGATACCTTTATGAATTGAGTAGTCTTCACATTTAAGTAGATTCTTATATTGCAATTTTAAAATTAAGCTTACATTTAGATATAATTAATAAAGAAAAAATATATTGAGTTGTTAAGCTAAAATTGGAAAACAATAAAATATCTAATCAAATTCATACTACTGATGAACTATTTTTGTTGATTAGATCATAGTATTTATATTAAATAATAATGGTGAATAAATTTCTCAGAATCCAAATACTATTATAAAAATAAACAAAAATCAAATAATAATTCTTTTCCCTAAATTTTCTTAAATCAATTGGTCATATTGTAACTTTCTATCTAATAGTGTTTAAGTATAGATAATTTTTCCTTCTTTGTGCTTCTTAGCTTCTTCGGATGATAACAAAATTACATTATTTGGGGTTATATCTTTCGATTTATCAAATTAAATAAATTCAATAGGTCTAGCTTTTTTATCTTCGAATTAAAAAAATAATTATACCTTTAATTAAGCATTATCCATTATATGCTTTATAAATCACAACTAAATCTTCAATATCTAAATTTAGATCTACATTGTTTTTTTTAGCTTACTAAGCTAGCAATTAAATTTATTATATAAAGTAAGGCATTTTAATATCATTTTAACATAGAGTAGCAGGTGCACAACCGGCTATATCACATAAGACATATGCAGCTAATGCTTAGGCAAATAAGGCTGGCATACATCCAAAAACTGGTACAATTCTTAACCGATAATTTGGCATGACTCTAAATTTGTCGGGATCACCTTTTTAATGTCTAATCATAATTAATAAGAATAATACTCTTATAATGGTAATAATTATCTATCTGTAACTTCAGTTGAATAGACAACATTAAATCCTGTTCTAATATCTATTTTTTTGAGTCTCATTCTTATTGCTCTTGCTAAATCATCATTTTATGATTCACTAATATCTCTTATTTATATTCTTGTTGGATCACATTTCATTCCAGCCCCACAACAAACAATGATTTTTATTTGATTTTTAACACAATAAGTAATTAAAGCAATTTTTGCATCAATATTATCTATACAATCTATGACATAATCAGGTTTATCTTCTTCAAAAAAACTTCCAATATTTTCAGGTGTGATGTAGGATTCAATTGTTTTTAATTTAATGGTTGGATTTAATTGTGCAATAAAATCAGTGAATATTTCAACTTTAGATTTACCTACATCTTTCCTAGTAGCTATAGCATGTCTATTTAAAGAGGAAAGAGTAACTCTATCAAAATCAATAATTGTAATTCTTTTCACTCCTGAACGAGATATAGCAGAAACAACATGACTACCTACTCCACCAACACCAAAAACCATAATGTGAGAATTTTCAATTTTTGTTTGTGATTCACCAAAAAATTATATGTTTCTTACTAATTATTCTTTAAGAAGCTCTTATTCTTATTCTTATTCTTCTTCTGCTTATTAGTTTTTCTTTAGACACTCTTTATTATTTTATTTTTTATGTTAAAGTAATTTTTATCCTAGCAAAGATAGACATACACCTCCTACTAACCCTGCTAGAAACTGGATTTTTTTGGAATCCATAATTAAATAATTAAATTCAATTTAATAATAACTCATTTGAATCTGATAAAAAGGATTGATAAGAATATTCATCTTAATCAAGATTTTGATCTTTGCAATATTTTTATAATTGTTTAGTTAAAGCTTTTCTTTCTGTTCTTCTTTTTACGAATTAATATAATTTTCTAAATTGAATAGTGTCTAATTTTTCTATATCAAATTGATATTCTCCTTAATTTTTAACATTTAAATATTTTAGAATTTATCTTAATGAACTTGAAGATAACTTGTTTAATTTTTCATACAAATCTTTCTTTTCTTAATCACTTTGAGGTTGTTTATGTTTTATAATTATTTTGTTTTTAATTTCTCCATTAAGTAATTGTTATAAATATTTTTGCATTTACTCCTAACATTTTTTTTAAAGTGGTTCAAATAAAATTTTAAATTTTTATTCTAATTCATCAACTAATTTCATTGATTCAGAATGAGTTGATAATATTTTACTTCTTATAAATAATGAATTCAAATCTTTATAAAATCTAGCTATTATATTTGTCCTATTTTATGATAATTTAAATATACATTTTGATTAATTGTTCATTTTTCATTTTTTTATATTATTCATCATTTTTCATAAATTATCTAGTAAATTATTTATTGAATGTATTTATCATTTCTTTATTAGTCAATTATTTATATTAATCAGTTCTTTTTAAATCATCAAGGATTTTTATACATTTATTTCTCTCCTCCTCTTATATTGGATTAAGACCATCACTATCCTATCTTTATTCACCTTTCTTATTATTAAATTGATTATTACTCTCATTAAATAATAATCAAATGGTAATCTTGTTTTAATATAGGCTAACTATTCTTTTGTAAGTTCAATAATCATTCTTTAAATTTGTAATATTAATTTATTAAAAAATATTATACTCATTTTTATTTTATAATTGTAATAGCACTCATAATTATGGAATCTATTCTTCTTATTAAGACCTCAAAACTTACATCAGGTCCTAATGTTTCTGTATTTCCTATCATAATTTTGTCTCTTTCTTATCTAAAGAGATTTCTTGATTTAATAGGAACTTCAAATACTGCAATAACTTAATCTTCACAAATGATAGGGTGAATTAATACAGGTAATATAGAATCAATATCAATTGTGTCATCAAATTCTGTGCATTTTCTTGTATTCATTACTATCAATTCCTAATAATATTATTATTAATACTTTTTTTCTATCACATACTAATTTAGCAATTCCTTTTTAATTTAAAAGGATTGGTTAATTAAGAACAGATCCTTTTGAGGATATTTTATTATGATTTGTGCCATCCCAACTATAATCTATTGTTTTATAGGTTAGAAATTAATTATTTTCAATAAAATAAAAAGCAATGAGTTAGACAGTTAATATGATTTCCATTTAATGTCTTATTGTTTTAAATAATTCAAATTTTGATTTACATTTTAAAAGTTCATTAAATGCTGATTAAATCATTGAATCAAACTTTTAAGTAATTTAAAATAAACTATTTTGTATATAATTTTAGATTACTAACTCACAAAACTTAGCTAATATTACACCAAAGTATTCTTCATCAAAAGAGAAAAAGTCACTAACTGCATTACTTATTTCTAATATTCCAATCAATTATTAATTTTAACTATATATTGGATACAATAAACATTAATTTGTGTATATAGTAATGTTTTCATTTGTATGACATAACAAATTATATTCTCTTTTATGTATTGGCTTTAATAATCTTATTAATTCATTAAAAGATCCTTTATTAATAATAGCTCTTTAATTATTATTTGTATATAGGATTCCTATTTAAGCATCAAGTATCCAAAATCTTGTATTCTAACACATAAAAATATGTTTAAAGTTTTAAGCAATAAATTACAATTATGTTTATAAATTATCTATTTGGAATAATTAGATCAATTATTTCAACATCATATTTAATTTTCCAGAGAAATCTTTGAATGATAAATATTAAGAAGTAATTAATTAAATTTATTCTCTTAGTTATTTTTAAGAAGATTGCATCATTTTTTATGTAAATAAAGAAGTTCCTTATTCTTCTAATTCTTTAATTATATCTGCAAATTCAATTTTTAATGCATTAATTCTATAATCTAAATTATCACAAGGTTAATATCTAATTAATAATTAAGTTGGATCTTATTATAAATCATCAAATGAAATAGTTTCTGTTCTTTCAGAAGCTATGTTTTCCATATCTCTTACTGAAATCTTTTTTTTCATAATTTCTAATTTCTAATTTAATTTATTGATTCTTGATTAAGAAAATTTATTTTATTCCTATAATTTAATAATTTCTTAATTTTTAAGTTGTAATTCTCTTTTTTATTTTTCACATTCTTTAACTAAATCAATTAAAGATTTTCTAATAATTGCATTTTCAGTAGGATAATCACATTCTAATATAATATCTAATCTTTGTTCTAAATTTGTTACTTTCTAATTTAAATCACCGCTTAACTTAGTTTAGATTTAATATTTATGATAATTTTATTAATTTTAATGGATTAATTCTTCTATTTTACTTTTAAGATTTTTATTTTAAATTTCTAAGTCTTCATTTTTCTTTTTTAAAACTTCATAACTTGTTTCTAATTAATTATATAACTATAATGTC